GAGGTGTTGACGGCCGAGCTGGCCAGGCAGTTCTCCTCCAGCGCACACTGCAGCATGAACATCGGGCGGTCCTCCAGGTAGGCTGTCTGCTCCACCAGCTCGGCGTTGAGCACCAGGTCAGGGGCAGCTGCCAGGAGGGAGGAAAGCTTTGAAATTAACTGAGGGGCTACTAAAAAAACCACAAACAGGGTATGTCGGAGGTGGGGGACAAGCGTCTGTCGGAGATGGGGGCCAGCCCCTTTGCTGCCCCATCAGCAGCAATTAGCCGCTGTTTTGACATGTCCAAGGCATGGCGTGAGCCACCCCATTTCTCCTGTGATGCCGTGAAAAGCTGGAGTTGAAGACTCAATATTTAGGAGTCTCTCTATCTTAGAGCTTTCCTGTCCCCCCCAAAACAGCAAGTCAAGTTTCTCTAAATAGCGTTATTTAGGAGCCTCTTTGTCTTAGAGCTTTCCTGTCTGCTCAAACCAGCAAGGATCTACTTTAATTTAATTACAATCACTCTAGTAAGTGGAAATTTTACATTTCCGGGTAATCACCTGCATATCTCAGGGCAAACGCATACACCAAAATGAAGTAAAACCCGAGTTACTCACTCTCCGAGCAGGACACACCAGCACCAAAACGACCACCTCCTCTGGGACAGGAGACATCGGCTCCATCGTGACGACAGTGGGCCAAGGACATCTCTGTCCCCGAACACTTGACGCCGCTCATGACTACGTTGTCAGCGCTGACGTCTCCGTGCCAGTACCAGGTTTCCTGGGCGGAAGGGCAGAAGAAGGCATTTCACACACTCCTCAGCGTTCAGAGGACTGCTGGAGGAATACTCAACCCCCAGCACCTTGCATTCTCCCTCCGTGGAAGATCAACGCAAGAACCCAACGCTGTCGAGGAGACAGATGTTGCCGAAGGATGCTGGAGCAGAGTAACTCGGGAACGAGCCGGAGCCTGTTTGATTAATCTGGCAGGCAGAATGCTGGGACTGGGATCAGAACCCAGGCTGACCATGTTCCCTGCCCTGCACATCTGACCAGTGTTAAGCAAATCTCCCTCCTTGTCTGTGAGCTGGTTTAAATCTCTTGCTTGTTTTTAATCCAGCTGTAAACTCACTTTTCCACCCTGCTCTGCCCATCCAGCTGACGAATTCATCCTCAGGCTGTTCTAAGTCATCTAGGCTGTGCCTTTGGGAGAGATGCCCAGCAGCTAAACTGTCTTGTGACATCTGTGCACTCGGGAGGGCCACAAATACTGAAATAATGCTCAAGTGCCTGCCTGCGCAAGGGGGGAGGCAGAATGGACAGCCAGGCTGGAAATGCCGATGGGAACAAGGCATTTGAGGAGTACCTGGGCCGATGGGGTGTGCGTCTCTTGGTTCTGAGGGGGGAATGCGCGGAATTTCAAACCCTGCTCGCTACTCATCTTCATCACCCAGTTTTACAAAACTTGTGGGAATGACAGAAAATTAACTCGCAACCTAACACCACGCACAAAACTTAGCACACTAAAACCTGACAAAGCTGCAAATGCAAAGCTTGGGAGAAGGGGAAGGGAGAAAGAATGAAAAAAAAAACCCCACAAGATATGTTAGCCTCAAAACTGGGAGCACGTTTCCAGGAAAAGAAAACCCATCTGTACCGTTGCTTCCATTGCAACAGGCTGTTTGTTAACCCTGTTAGCAACGCTCTTTGCACACCCGCACACAGGGCTGCCCTGTTCTACACAGTGTAGCTTTATGCTCACATAGATGGTGCAGCCGGGATACACAGAAGGGCCTTTTCTGTTCTAAATACCGGCAGTCTCAGCTAAGGGAAAAAATGTCTTGTTTCTTGCTGGACTCTCAGGGCTGTGTCAACAGAGCCAGGCAGTTGGAAAGGCCAGCGTTCGAGGGACGTGGCTACCCGCAGCTCTCCTGCTCTGCTTGGCAGCCACGCAGGCAAATCAGCTGCAGGAACCAGCTCGCACGGGGGGATCGCTACGACAGCGGCACGGGCAACTCCAGCCTTCTACCTGCTGGGTATCTGACCCCAGCGTGTCCCGCCCCCGCTGCCGGACTGCGCTGGCCATGCAGAGCTTGACCGGTCCATTCCTGCCGACGGTCTCTCCCGCTTTCTCTGCAGGCAGGCACCGGCCCCGGGGACGCCGAGGCCATCGGTCATCCCCCGGTCTCGCTACTCCTCGCTGCCCAGAGCCAGCAGGCACTCAGCACAGATGCCATTTCTCCCTGGGTTTGTCGCAGCAGCATCTAGATGCTGAGCGGGCCAGACACAGCACAAAACCACAGCAGAGCCAGCTGGAGCCCAGGCCTGGGGAACGGCGACAGCCTCCGCTCCCTGCAACGACATTTTACTCGTTTGCTCAAGTTTTCAATTTCCAGGAATACTTTGGGGAAAATCGTTGTCTTTCCAGAACTGATCTAAGACTGTTTTCTGTGTGCGGGCTTCCATCTATATAAACACACATGAAGTTTGTTTATTCAGTGGCCATTTCAGCCTAAGTTTCCCCAAAGCTGCTGGCGATCGCCGATTCTCAGCTGAAATGCCTCAAAGCGGCTGCAATCCCAGAGCACAGCGAGACGGCAAGCTCTGGCAGGGGATTACTTTGTCCTAGGGAGAAACCAGTTTATTTTAGGAGCCCAAATCCCCGTTTTCCCAGTGTCTGGGAGCTGCAATAAAGGCCCAGAGGTTATATATTTCCTTTCAAAATCTACCATTACACCTAGGTCTGCCTGCCCCTCTTTCCCCTTGCGATCTTTGAGGGATGCATCAGTACGGAAGATTATCTTGCGCCAGGGTTATTGGCCAGCACAGCCACTTACACCTGGTGCCAGTCACCCATTGGGGAGCTGGGTGGGACGCTGTTGCCCTCCCTGCTCCCAGCTCTTAGGGCTGCTGCTTGCTTTCCTCCAGCCAGCACAGCAGGCTGCCGTTCACTGCGCCAGAGAGCTGCGCTGGGAAAGAACACTTTATTCCTTTGTGGTTACCCCAAGCTTGTTGGTTGGCAGCTTTTATCCCTTTACTAAGCGCCCTTCTTAGCTGTGTGCAGGCAGGGAGGGTTTAGGGTGTTTGCCATTAGAGGAGAAAGAAACACAAAGAGCTTGGGGAGCGAGCATCCACTGCGCAGCGGTGTACACACTGCACGGAGAAGTAACTACAGGAGCAAAATCAAATTGTTTTCAAGTGTTTTGACACCAGGTTAAACTTGGCTTCCACACTTCAGTCAGCCTGAGGAGGGAGGGACAAGAAACTGCGTGTACCAACCAGTGCTAAGGCAGTCAGGGTCCCCAGGAAACCCGAGTGCTGAGCCGTACAAAAACAGCGGCTTTGCCCAGAGCTGCAACAGCTCCTCCTGCTCCGAATTTCCTCCAACAGCTGTTGTGCAACGAGGTTTAGCCTTCAGGGTCTCTCCAGCTCATGTTTTGAAGCTGAATACTGTGGTTTGTGGGTTGATTTTTTGTTTAAGAAGCCTTCCTCCTCCTCCTCCAGTAGCCCCTACCCAATCACACGTGTGCCACCACGGCTGAAACACGGGCCCGGGGCCTCACCTGGAAGGCATGGCTGGGGGGTCGAAGCCCCAGCCCAGCTGCCGGCAGACCACCATGGCCTCCACGGTGCTCCAGTTCTCGCTGCAGACCGTGCCCCACTTCAGAGTGCCGTTGCGCTCTGCCAGGACCTCCACCCGGCCCTCGTAAGGGTTACGACCACCGCTCAGACGCAGCTGCAGGGCACAAAAACTCAATAAATGTCTTAGCAAACTTTACAGGGCAAATGCAACGGATGGGTGAGCAACACTCGGGGTCTTCTCAAAGCTCAGGGTTAAAGTCGCTGAGCCCAGAAACCTCGGTTCATCTGCCAGCAGACCGGGTGATGCAGTCTGGTTCTTCACCTCCCACCATGGGCGGGAAGCAGCCCAGCAGCTGAAAGAGAATAACACACTCCCTGTGGACCCTGGGCAGGAGCATTTACTCAGAGGAACCTGTGTCTGCTTCGTGCAGTTGGTTTTTAAGCCCTGCCTGGCACAGGTGAGAGCAGCACCCATGCCCGCAGCCACCCAGGGACTA